CAGGAAGATCAGGTAGCTCCCCACACAGCCACCCACAAGAAAGATCAGGTAGCTCCCCACACAGCCACCCACAGGAAGATCAGGTAGCTCCCCACACAGCCACCCACAGGAAGATCAGGTAGCTCCCCACACAGACACCCACAGGAAGATCAGGTAGCTCCCCACACAGCCACCCACAGGATGATCAGGTAGCTCCCCACACAGCCACCCGCAGGAAGATCAGGTAGCTCCCCACACAGCCACCCGCAGGAAGATCAGGTAGCTCCCCACACAGCCACCCGCAGGAAGATCAGGTAGCTTCCCACACAGCCACCCACAGGATGATCAGGTAGCTCCCCACACAGCCACCCACAGGAAGATCAGGTAGCTCCCCACACAGCCACCCACAAGAAAGATCAGGTAGCTCCCCACACAGCCACCCACAGGAAGATCAGGTAGCTCCCCACACAGCCACCCACAGGAAGATCAGGTAGGTCCCCACACAGCCACCCACAGGAAGATCAGGTAGCTCCCCACACAGCCACCCACAGGATGATCAGGTAGCTCCCCACACAGCCACCCACAGGAAGATCAGGTAGCTCCCCACACAGCCACCCACAGGAAGATCAGGTAGCTCTGAAGATTGCTAGTCCTCGGCGGCAGCGGGTACAGGGTGAGACGACCCCAGTACAAGCGGCAACAGTCAAGTCCTTCCATTCAATGAAGAGCACACTCCACAAGCAGAGACGGAAGATGACCCAGCTGGTCTACTGCCGAATCGTCAACGCCGCACCTATGAACTACGTCTACTGCGTCTCCTGAACGACAAGCTGCAGCAGCTAACAGGATCGCCCCTTCATGCTGACGTCATCGAGGCGGACTTTGAAATCGCCGTCATCAACGCTGTAACGCTGCTGCGACTGTCTTCTCCAACTCTGACGTCCGTGGATGCTAGCTCCACTACACACAGGCTCTCTGGAGGAAGGTTCAGAACCTCGGCTTCAGTGAGCCTATCAGCAGGATCCGGGGATTCATAGATGGATAAGAAGAGCAGCAGCACTTCTCCTCCCCCCAGTAGCCATGGTCCAAGACGCTTGGATTGAGGTCATGGACGACGTCCCTGCCAATCGACAGAAAGATGAGTTCCATGGTTGCGTGACCAGCATCTGGTTGATGATCATGCCATGTTTTGTGCCGGATTGTGGAATCACCATGAGACCCAAGGCCCGAGGACGAATAATCATCTCGAGGGATGGCATTCACACCCCAACAAGATCATCCAACGAGCACACCCGAACATTTTCTCCTTTGTGAAAGTGTTACAGAGGAATAAGATGGTTAAGATGGCGCATGGTTCCAGTCCCCCACCCGCAAGAGGAAGTACACATAACTCCGACCACAGGCTCACACGACTCAATGATCAGCTGATATCGGAGGTGAAGACATCACTGGAGTTCCTGTCAGCTGCCGGACACTTAATTAAATTAGGTAAATGCATGCAAACTGTGTGAATCATTAATGTTATAACAGTGAGAAAAATGTGTCAAAATTAAAGATAAAAATGATTTTCACAAATAGTGTGAAATAGGTGTACAACATTGGTGTACGAAAAATGAACACTAATGAATGACGAATAAACGGTTCATCAACATAGAAAGTCTTTGTTCTGTGTTTACTGTACGTAAAGGCGCACTCTTAAATGGGACATAACACTTTAGTGAAAGGTTGAAAGCAGTAAAATTGTAACCATTGGTGCGTAAGGTTGTTTATATAGGACTGTAGGCGTTATACCCTGTAGGCATTATACCCTGTAGGCATTAGTAGACTCCGCCTTATTATTTCCTCGGAAAGCAAGAAGGTCTGCCTCATGTTCATCAACTGCAGCACCCGAGAGGGCAGTACAATGAGATGATTCACTTACCGCGACAATGTAACATACAGAATCGGTGGAAACAATAATAACTTCCGTGGAGATAGTGTTCAACTATTGATAGCAGTGGTTATGCTTCCTGGAGATAGTGTTCAACTATTGATAGCAGTGGTTATGCTTCCTGGAGATAGTGTTCAACTATTGATAGCAGTGGTTATGCTTCCTGGAGATAGTGTTCAACTATTGATAGCAGTGGTTATGCTTCCTGGAGATAGTGTTCAACTATTGATAGCAGTGGTTATGCTTCCTGGAGATAGTGTTCAACTATTGATAGCAGTGGTTATGCTTCCTGGAGATAGTGTTCAACTATTGATAGCAGTGGTTATGCTTCCTGGAGATAGTGTTCAACTATTGATAGCAGTGGTTATGCTTCCTGGAGATAGTGTTCAACTATTGATAGCAGTGGTTATGCTTCCTGGAGATAGTGTTCAACTATTGATAGCAGTGGTTATGCTTCCAAATTAGGTCTTGGTTGTATTTTAGAGTGAACAAAGCGATCGTCAATCAACAGCTGGTCTTGATGTAATATGAGAGGTATTTTTTTGCCTACAAGCCCACCGTCCAGATGTGTCAAGCTGTGTTAGCCATTCTGGAACTGTTCAGATTACACTTGACGACCAAACCAAATATAACACGTCCACGCCGCTGCTTAATCTTACACTGTCGACAACAATTGCAAATTATTATTATCACACAATGGTATGAACTTGAATCCAATCAGAAACTCATATTATAGTGCAGGAATTTAAGGTGAGATAGCCCTGACTGACTGACTGAGGTTGGTTTTACGCCGCTTTTAGCAATATTCCAGCAACTTCACGGCGGGGGACACCAGAAATGGGCTTCACAGATTGTACTCATGTGGGGATTCGAACCCGGGTCTTCGGCGTGACGAGCCAACGCTTTAACCACTAGGCTACCCCACCGCCCCGTGAGACAGCCCTGAAGTCGGAGCAGGTGTTAGCCCCTGGGCGTCTTTTATGAAGTCAATTCCTGATCCCCCTCTCTAGGTAAACGAGATCTGTTGACATGTGAGCAGCTTTATTAAATCAAACTGAAGGATGTTCGGATTAACAAGCCAACAGGATGTCTACCTTCTAAGTCTTTTGTCTTCGTTACATTACTGTTTTAACAGCAATTCTCGTGTCTGTCCCCAATCACATCAAACACTATACACTAGTGTGGGTTTAGTGTGGATCTGACAGCAACTACAATATCCTTCAATAGTGTATAGCTTGTCCCGATATCATATATCGAGGTATGTAATCAGACAAAAAGATCTGACTCTAGAATTTTTTCCGAAAATGTGTTTTGGTGAGTCCAAACCTTCAAAACGATACCTGTTGTTTGACTGAGGTCCAAGATGGAAGAAATGCGCCGTTAACACGTTCAAATGCTTTAACAGTTTATTCAAAATACTATTTCACGACCTGGAATAAGCGATGAGTATGTTTTTATAATATCAAGTGAGAGCACGTGACATGAGAGATGACAACATAACTACTGATGAAACAGATGCATTTGTAATGAACACATTGCACACAATAAATATTGAATAATAAATATAATGACAAATAAATGAGATGTCCAAAGAACCACCATTCGAACTTTGTAACCATGCAAACAGCAAAGACAAGACGACTTATCTTATATATAACTGAAATATTAATCTTATCTATTCTAACATTACGTTTTCGGATGTTCTGTAATGATTACTGACAATGCGATAGTATGAATGAGATTAATACTTTAATACTGTAAACTCTCGTTATATCGGGAATTCACCGTTAACACATATGAGCGTAGTGATGATGCTGTTAGATGTTGGTGATGTTGTGCTGACGTCACCCTCAGCAGTAAATCAGATGTAATACGGCGTGTCAGCTTAACGTACAGGAAAGTCCACACTGTCGACTATCGAGACGGTAATACAAACAGCGTATCCTGACCACCAAGGGAGACAACTATGCACAGGAATTACGGACACCCAAATGATATGTGCAAATGATACTATCAATTTGAGTGGTAAAATTGTCAAAGGAAAGTGGTTATTTTACAACCTTGCACCTTAAATAAGGACGACCATCAATCAACACTACATGTTATTGGGTGTTAGTGAGTATAAAGCTGATTGGAGAAGCAGTGCAGACATATAACGACCTATTACAAGCAGCTTTGACCACTACGACTTTTGGTGAAAATCACGAACATGGGTATGGTGCTTACAAGTTTAGAAACTTTACCATAGCGAACTCGGGCTCGACCCCACGCACAGGAACGCCGGGGGCCCAAGTAGGCACGCTCATGCCTAAATCATTTATCTGCATGTCAAAGTATCAAGTGATAAGTATTGCCTAAAGTTAACGCTAGTTGTAGCAGTGAGATTAGGGGAACTGACAAGAGAAAGATATAATTGAATTTCTTTGGTTCAGTACAAAAGTAATGATGGACATGATGGAGATGATGATGATGATGATGATGATGATGATGATGATGATGATGATGATGATGATGATGATGATGATGATGATGATGATGATGAAGAAGAAGAAGAAAAAGAAGATGCAATAACTTGTGGTAATGAAGGGTATTTCCCGCAATGGTATTTCTTTTGATGACGGATTAAATGGTGGCGATGATGTGATGATGAGGTTTATAAGGATGGTGATGATGATGATGATCCTGCTGTTGCTGCTGCTGACGATGCTGATGAAGTAACTAGTGATGGTGAATGTCATTTCCTGCAAACTTCATGGAAGACAGAAATATATGATTCGACAATGTGCGATATGTGGTGAACAGAAGTTCATGGATGAATCAGTGGAAAACGTCGTTGTGATGTCTGATGTTGTGGACACGGTTTACGATTTGGTAGATGATGACAGTTACATATGTTTGGTTGCAGCTTTCATCATTGTTGTACAGGGTGTAGTAGTGCCGTGTGGATATAGTTGAGGTCGTCGTAGTAGTTGTAGTTCTACATAAGGTAGCAGAAAATGTCGTTACGCGTCGGTCGTTCAATGATGCATGCTGTATGAGAATCTGGATGAAATGTCGTTGGCAATCAGGTTCACAACGGCGATGTCGTTGGTCAGTCAGCACAGCCCCATGCACCACATGGGTTAGGTGTTGCTGCCGTTGTCGTGGTTAGTGGCGCAGGGTTACTTTCAAGACGGCGCCCAACACAGACACACCCGACATGGTGAACCCTCAGCTCAGCTGTGTAGGTCTGGAACCCAGCCATGCAGCCAGTCTCCTTCAAAACCCGCACCGTGGTGGACACCCTCTCGCACCCACTGCGGCTGTGCTGGACACAGCTAGTACATTTACACATGGCCTGGGGGATGACGGACGGATAGTGACCAGCGGGCATTTCGTCAGCCTCGTAGTACCACGGACAGAGAGAGCGTTCAGACAGCGGGGCGTTCACGTCTTCTGTAACAACATCCGGGCACGTCTTCCCGCCGTATCTGTGCGTGCTGTCAAAGACGAGGTTGGTGTTGAGTTCATTTGGGAGGTAGCGGGTTAACGCCGTGTTCAGTTGGAGGAACATGGATGTGTTCAGGTGTGTGTTCAGCTCCGCGAACATCGTGTTGATATCTTCAGGAATGGTGCAGTTGACCGGCCTTCGCCTCATCCTGAAAGCCCTCCTCAGGGCTGGGGTTTGAGTCATTATCGACCCACACAGACATACAAGGATCAGTATCTTCATGCTGAATATTCCTTGGCTTATTGAGGGGTGGTGTATGGACGCAGGTGTCAGTGCTCCAACAGACTATGCTTGTTGACAAAACACATATGCCCTTATATACAGGAGTAGGTCCACAAATGGGACAAAAACCCTGTTATTATTGGATAAAGGAAGTGACGACTCGATCGGCAGAGGCCACTTGTTAGTATGCAATGAGCTCAAGGCGGAAGTATAATATTTGTTGAATTGTGGGTAGTTGCTCAAACACGGAATGTCATAAACATTAAGAGAGACCTCAATGGCCCATAAACTACATTTTATAGTCCAAATCTGTTAAAGTCATTGACAAAACTATTTGTTGAACAATAACGGCGTACTGCACCCTGCAGTCGACGTTTCTGGAAGACTTCAGTTTTAGGTGAGGGGCCCTTACATTGGGCACATCTCTATTGATAAGTTGCACCAACAACTTAAACGCATTTCGTCATTAGTTACTGTATTAGATATTTCGTCTTGTGTTTCCCCGGGTAGTTTTAGCAGTGCGCAACAGGAACTCTGTACTGTTGATGGCGGTAGTGAAGAACTCTCCAAGTTATTCCACTTCTTAAATGTTAAGAATCATTTTTTTGCAAATAGGTATAATTATTGTCCCCGTTTTGCGATAAACAAAGTTTCAATGTCTCCAAAGGTTTCAAAATATTACGTAGAGCTTAAGAGCTAAATCCTCGACCCGAGGGATTGCGGGGTGCGTGTCACTGTTAACAATGATTGAGTGGGTGGGTGATTGAGTGATTGAGCGGGTGGGTGATTGAGTGATTGAGCTGGTGGGTGATTGAGTGGGTGGGTGATTGAGTGATTGAGCGGGTGGGTGATTGAGCGGGTGGATGATTGAGTGGGTGGGTGATTGAGTCAGTAATTCGGAACTGGCATTCGGGACCCCGATCATAGTTTTATTTAAACATTTTCTTGCGCACACATCTGGGAACAGCGAATTGTTGTGTGTTAATTGAACTATCAACGTGTACGAATATTTACGTTTGTATGCAGATAAATCCAATATGGCGGCATATTTCGTTTGAGAAAATCCAACATGACGCCACCTATGGACTAACAGACAATCCAATATGGCATAATCTACTGAATAACAAAAAATCCAGTTAGACATCATCTATTGAAAAACAGACAAACCAGTAGCTCGACATTTATTGAATAACAGACAACCCAACAGGACATCGTCTATTACATAACAGACAATCCGACATGGCATCAACAATTGAGTAACAGACAATCCATTATGACTCACTATCTGTTGAGTAACAGACAATCCGACATGACATCAACAATTGAGTAACAGACAATCCATTATGACTCACTATCTGTTGAGTAACAGACAATCCGACATGACATCAACAATTGAGTAACAGACAATCCATTATGACTCACTATCTGTTGAGTAACAGACAGTCAACTATGAGGCACTATCTGTTGAGTAACAGACAAGCCGACATGGCATCAACAATTGAGTAACAGAGAATCCATTATGACTCACTATCTGTTGAGTAACAGAGAATCCATTATGACTCACTATCTGTTGAGTAACAGACAGTCAACTATGAGTCACTATCTGTTGAGTAACAGACAAGCCGACATGGCATCAACAATTGAGTAACAGACAATCCATTATGGCTCACTTTCTGTTGAGTAACAGACAACCCAAGAGGATGTCATTTATTGCTTAATAGGTAGTTAAACGTGACTTCATTTTGCAATCACTTCATGCAGTTCAACTTGATAAGATATAATCTTCAGCTGACACTTCCCTCAATGTGTATTAAAGCAACTTTACTGTTTTATAGCATCTTTCCAGAACGGTATGAAATGATTTCAGTATTGTGATGATTGAAATGAGGAAGTTGTTGTTGAGCGGACACGGCACTGATTGTACGGATCAATGGAGGCTAAACAAGTTGCTGATTGCCCATTGCATGTATCAACTATACTACCCATCAAAGGTTTAGACTCACTGGTGTAAAGTTAGCCACTTACATCAACTATACTACCCATCAAAGGTTTAGACTCACTGGTGTAAAGTTAGCCACTTACATCAACTATACTACCCATCAAAGGTTTAGACTCACTGGTGTAAAGTTAGCCACTTACATCAACTATACTACCCATCAAAGGTTTAGACTCACTGGTGTAAAGTTAGCCACTTACATCAACTATACTACCCATCAAAGGTTTAGACTCACTGGTGTAAAGTTAGCCACTTACATCAACTATACTACCCATCAAAGGTTTAGACTCACTGGTGTAAAGTTAGCCACTTACATCAACTATACTACCCATCAAAGGTTTAGACTCACTGGTGGAAAGTTAGCCACTTACATCAACTATACTACCCATCAAAGGTTTAGACTGGTGTAAAGTTAGCCACTTACATCAACTATACTACCCATCAAAGGTTTAGACTGGTGTAAAGTTAGCCACTTACATCAACTATACTACCCATCAAAGGTTTAGACTCACTGGTGGAAAGTTAGCCACTTACATCAACTATACTACCCATCAAAGGTTTAGACTGGTGGAAAGTTAGCCACTTACATCAACTATACTACCCATCAAAGGTTTAGACTGGTGTAAAGTTAGCCACTTACATCAACTATACTACCCATCAAAGGTTTAGACTGGTGTAAAGTTAGCCACGTACATCAACTATACTACCCATCAAAGGTTTAGACTGGTGTAAAGTTAGCCACTTACATCAACTATACTACCCATCAAAGGTTTAGACTGGTGTAAAGTTAGCCACTTACATCAACTATACTACCCATCAAAGGTTTAGACTGGTGTAAAGTTAGCCACTTACATCAACTATACTACCCATCAAAGGTTTAGACTGGTGTAAAGTTAGCCACTTACATCAACTATACTACCCATCAAAGGTTTAGACTCACTGGTGGAAAGTTAGCCACTTACATCAACTATACTACCCATCAAAGGTTTAGACTGGTGTAAAGTTAGCCACTTACATCAACTATACTACCCATCAAAGGTTTAGACTCACTGGTGGAAAGTTAGCCACTTACATCAACTATACTACCCATCAAAGGTTTAGACTGGTGTAAAGTTAGCCACTTACATCAACTATACTACCCATCAAAGGTTTAGACTGGTGTAAAGTTAGCCACTTACATCAACTATACTACCCATCAAAGGTTTAGACTGGTGTAAAGTTAGCCACTTACATCAACTATACTACCCATCAAAGGTTTAGACTGGTGTAAAGTTAGCCACTTACATCAACTATACTACCCATCAAAGGTTTAGACTCACTGGTGTAAAGTTAGCCACTTACATCAACTATACTACCCATCAAAGGTTTAGACTCACTGGTGTAAAGTTAGCCACTTACATCAACTATACTACCCATCAAAGGTTTAGACTCACTGGTGGAAAGTTAGCCACTTACATCAACTATACTACCCATCAAAGGTTTAGACTGGTGTAAAGTTAGCCACTTACATCAACTATACTACCCATCAAAGGTTTAGACTGGTGTAAAGTTAGCCACTTACATCAACTATACTACCCATCAAAGGTTTAGACTCACTGGTGTAAAGTTAGCCACTTACATCAACTATACTACCCATCAAAGGTTTAGACTGGTGTAAAGTTAGCCACTTACATCAACTATACTACCCATCAAAGGTTTAGAGACTGGTGTAAAGTTAGCCACTTACATCAACTATACTACCCATCAAAGGTTTAGACTGGTGTAAAGTTAGCCACTTACATCAACTATACTACCCATCAAAGGTTTAGACTGGTGTAAAGTTAGCCACTTACATCAACTATACTACCCATCAAAGGTTTAGACTGGTGTAAAGTTAGCCACTTACATCAACTATACTACCCATCAAAGGTTTAGACTGGTGTAAAGTTAGCCACTTACATCAACTATACTACCCATCAAAGGTTTAGACTCACTGGTGTAAAGTTAGCCACGTACATCAACTATACTACCCATCAGAGGTTTAGACTCACTGGTGTAAAGTTAGCCACTTACATCAACTATACTACCCATCAAAGGTTTAGACTCACTGGTGTAAAGTTAGCCACGTACATCAACTATACTACCCATCAAAGGTTTAGACTCACTGGTGTAAAGTTAGCCACGTACATCAACTATACTACCCATCAAAGGTTTAGACTCACTGGTGTAAAGTTAGCCACTTACATCAACTATACTACCCATCAAAGGTTTAGACTGGTGTAAAGTTAGCCACGTACATCAACTATACTACCCATCAAAGGTTTAGACTGGTGTAAAGTTAGCCACGTACATCAACTATACTACCCATCAAAGGTTTAGACTCACTGGTGTAAAGTTAGCCACTTACATCAACTATACTACCCATCAAAGGTTTAGACTGGTGTAAAGTTAGCCACGTACATCAACTATACTACCCATCAAAGGTTTAGACTGGTGTAAAGTTAGCCACGTACATCAACTATACTACCCATCAAAGGTTTAGACTCACTGGTGTAAAGTTAGCCACTTACATCAACTATACTACCCATCAAAGGTTTAGACTCACTGGTGTAAAGTTAGCCACGTACATCAACTATACTACCCATCAAAGGTTTAGACTGGTGTAAAGTTAGCCACGTACATCAACTATACTACCCATCAAAGGTTTAGACTGGTGTAAAGTTAGCCACTTACATCAACTATACTACCCATCAAAGGTTTAGACTGGTGTAAAGTTAGCCACTTACATCAACTATACTACCATCAAAGGTTTAGACTGGTGTAAAGTTAGCCACTTACATCAACTATACTACCCATCAAAGGTTTAGACTGGTGTAAAGTTAGCCACTTACATCAACTATACTACCCATCAAGGGTTTAGACTGGTGTAAAGTTAGCCACTTACATCAACTATACTACCCATCAAAGGTTTAGACTGGTGTAAAGT